AGTGTTTCTCCAGCAGTTGTGTTTCTTGTAACTGTTAAAATTGTTCACACAGGACGTTGACAGGTGTGTGGTCTCAGGAGATTTGTAAAAGTGACTTTTCTCGTCCCCTCTGCTTTGTCCTTTCACCTCTGGGTGAGGTGACATTACCAGAAGCCAGGCTGCTGTCCCAGAGGCCGACTGGTTCGAATCCACCCTCCGTGGGAAGATGGACCCAATGTCCTTCCAAGTGCCTCTGTCCACACGCTGGAGGGGTCAGCTATGGGCTGGTTCGGACTCAATGGCCCCCAGCCACCAGCAAAACACAAGTGATGTGAGCCTTGGTGAGTCTCTCGAGAATATATCATTTCTCCCCGAAGGACAGTGAGTGGACTAGTGACCACTCTGCTTTTCCAAGAAATGGCAGAATCCTGAGAGGTTGGACGGCTCTGGCTGGCTTCCACCTTGGAAATGATGGAAGAGGTCAGATGTCCAAGCAATTCAGAGCCTCCTCAGACCTTGTCCAGCCTTCTGTCCACGTGGGTGAAGCCCAGTGCATAAACTATCTGACACCCTTTTCAGAAAAAAGCAAAGTCTTATTTGAAGTCAGATTTCTTTGGAAAGCATTTACTCCTGACATGAAAGGAAGACAAAGACATTTGATGTTGACATTGTCTGTGCAGACAGGTGAGTTATATTCAGTGCAACTGTCATCAAAAGAATCCTGACCTAGATTAATCAGAACTGGCTTTGACAAGCACTGTGGCCATTGGACAATTAAAACAGACTTTCAAGGAGGGGGAAAAAAAAGAAGAATGAACTGGGGAGGAGGGTAGAGAAAATAGTGCAACAATGAATGCATGAAAACCCCAAATCTCTGTAAATGTTCATTAAAATTAATAAAATTTAATAATAAAAAAGATAAACAAACAAAAAAGAATCCTGACCTGTTTTTTAATTTTTTTTTGAAGCTGAGTAGTATAACGTATTGTGACTTCGTGAACAAAAAAGCTGAACTCTGCCCTTTTCTTGTCCCATCACCAACATCTGTGGAAGACTGAATGATGTGGATACAGTCACCTATGAGGCCATCTCATTGTGGGATTGACTCTATTTTCACTGACCTTCTAATCTTCCCAAGAGTTTTTTTCCAAGAACTGCCCCCAACCCCATAACAACATGTCCAGAGAACATGAGGTGAAGCTTCTTCTCTCTTAACCTCCAGGAAGCACTCAAAATGGACTTTCTCCAAGAAATCATATTTATTTAAAAAAAATCATATTTATTTGTTCTCTTGGCAGGCCGTGGGATACTGAATACTCTTCCCTAGAATCCCAAGGCTAAGCATTCATTCTTCTGTCACCTTTAACTCCCCAACTCTGAGATGCAGAGTTGTTTTTTAAAATTGTATGTCATCAAGTTGGAAGAGACCCAGAACTGACTCTCCAGAGTGTTTTCTGAGACAGTGAATCACGTGGGAAGAGATTTCCCTTCCTCCCGAGAAGCAGCTGGTGATTTTGAACTGCAAACTTCGAGATGGCAGGGTCAGGTGCACCTTAGTCTTTAAAGTGACATCCTTGCTCTCCAGCACCGGGTAGCATTCTCTGACATCCGACTTTCCTAAGGCATTTCTTCTTTTCATTTCCTGACTGCTGGTACTCAGATTGTTCATTTGAATTTAAGTCAGAGGAAATCATGACAATTTCTATCTTTATCACAATAGTACCTATCATAGCCCAGGTGAAAAAGGTCAAGCATTTTCAGAATTATAGGCATTTTTGTGAGGAGAGGCTGTTATTTTGAGGAGGACATCATGCTTGGAAAGGTGGAGGGACAGAGGAAGAGAAGGAAACCTTTAAACTGGTGGATGGACACAGGGACTGCAGCCATGGGTTTAGGTGTGTCAGATATGGTGAGGACGGCACCGGATGACAGAGTTCGTGTCTGTTGATCATTGGGTCTCTGTGAGTCATATTTGACTCTGTCCTTCCAACCAAGAACAACAAGAGAGCTCACACAGACAGAAAGCTTTTCCTTGGAACTGACGTTAAAAATTTGACTGTCTATTCTCACCACTGGGCCTCCTGGCACCATCACGATAGATGGTGAAGAAGTTGAGATGGTTGACAGCTTCAATTTAATTGGTTTTACAGTCAACAAATCTTGGGACCAGCAGACAGGAAATTAAAAGACAAATCGCATTGGGAAAGTCTGAGAGCAGAGACCTCTCCAGGAAGGAGCAATGATGTCAGTCTGGAGACTAAGGTGCACCTGATCTTTGCAATCACTTGCTATGCGTCAAAGAGCTGGACAATGGCTAGGGATGATATGAGAATTGATGCCTTTGAGCTGTGGTGCTGGAGAAGAGTATTGAGGGTACCATGGACTGATAGGAAAACAGATTCATCCTGGAGAGGGTTCAACCAGGTGGCTCCTTGGAGGCAAGGATTCTGAGGCTTCATCTAACATACTTTGGACATGTAGCAAGGAGAGACAGGTCCTTAGAGAGGGACGTCATGCTTGGGAGGGTGGAAGGACAGCACAGGAGGGGAAGGCCCTCTATGAGATGGATTGATTTAGTGACTGGGGTAATTGGGATGGGAGTGTCAGAGACACTGAGATTGGCACAGGATAGAGCAGAGTTTTAGGCTGTTGTACACAGGGTCGCTATGAATCACAGGCGACTCAATGTCACATAACAACAACAATAGTTTTTCAAATCTCAACAAGATTAGTTTGGTCAAGATATCCACTTGTTTTACTAACATTAGATAACTGAGACAGAGAAGGCCATTGACAAAGAAAAAGAAAACTCCAAGGAGGAGAATTTACACATTAAACGCATTAAGGCTCCCATGCAGTGATGCAAAATAGATTTAAGGGAATTGGTGCGTGAGTGTGTGTGTAATTGAGTGCATGCAAATGCAAAATATGCCCATACAGGCCGTGATTTATTTCTGTCCAATTTAGCTCCTACCAATTACCATGTGAAAATAAAGCCTAAAACAATTTCTAGTTGCCTGTCTGTAGGGGGTGTGGGGAAACACTTCCTACGTCATTGATGAAAAACTATGAAACAGTAACCAAATTAGAACTTTTACACTTAAAAAACAAAATTCAGGGAAATATTTAGAAGGAAAAGGTGGGCAGGGTTTTGATAATAGAAAATAAATTTTTTTTTAAATGAAAACTATAGGAAGCCCTGGTGTTCTAGTTGCAAGAAGCTGCAGTACAATTTCAGAGGTACACAGTTCGAATCCAACAGATGCTCTGCTGGAAAAGGAGGGACAATCTCTTCCTGTACCAGCCAGATCCTACTTAACTGTACACAGAATAAATTATAAATATTTTTTAAAACTTTAGAATTTAAAATAATTTCTAATTTAAAACAATTTATAAACTATGTAAATTATGGAAGAAACCTATTAAAAGATTTTCCACATGGAAAAATGCAGATAGTCCCAATTCTCTGATTATGTAGGACATCTTGATTTATTTCAATAAGTGTGTCCTTTCATAAAGAGCCATGAAAAACATCTAGAATTTTCTTGGAGGAGGAAATAATAATGTTTATGTGGGTCAAATGGTTATTATAAGCGGAACCAAGAAATCGTACGCTGTGTGTTCCCGCACGGACTGTTTTTTGTGATGTACGTAGCTGTCCCGGAACCGGAAGTACGGGCCCTTTTTTCTGAGGCGCACAGATCGCGCTCTTATCGGTGGTCGGTGTTCTTCGCTGTCCCCTTTGTGCTGACCGCTTCGGTGGCGGCCACACGGGTCTTGGTCGGGTTTTGGGTGGAACCTTGCTCCCCTTTTGCGCTTTCTTGTTGCTCCGGGGGGACCTCTCGCTCGGGCTCCGCTTCCGGTGGGACCCCGGGCCGCGAGGCCGCTGCAACCCCGGGAGCCCAGGACCCTGCAAAGAGGGGTATTTCCAGGTAAAGACACCGAAATGCATGCATTTTTAGGGCTGGGAGGTCGAGCGTGCAGAGTAGTTCCTAAATGCGCACGATCCGGGGCTCCTGACGGTGCAGGCGAGCGGGGTCAGCTTGCAGGCAAATTTGGGGGAGAAAAATGCAAAATCGGGGGCCTACAAACGTCCTGTGCATGCACTCTGGTTCCTCCGCGGGCTCGCTCTTATTTTATTTCTGCTTCCTTGAAAATCAGGCTGGAGGGGTTTATGTCTTAAAAAAATCGAGCTGTTGGTCTGCATCTAAATGTGTGTGTGTGTGTTTGTGCATGAAAACGAAAATGTAAGGAACTGGCGCGTGAGAGTGTTTGTGTTTTTGCTTGCATGCAAATGCCAAAGGGATTTATGGGAATTGGTGCGTGAGTCTTTGTATTTGCGTGCATGCAAATACGAAATAGATTTAAGAAAATTGGCGCGCGTGTGTTTGTTTGCATGCAAATAGAAAATAGGTTTACGGGAATTGGTGTATGTGAGTTTATGTGTGTGTCTGCGTGCATGCAAATGCAAAATAGATTTAAGGGAATTGGTGCGTGAGTGTGTGTGTAATTGAGTGCATGCAAATGCAAAATAAATTTTAGAAAACTGGCGTGTGAGTGTGTATTTGCGCGCATGCAAACATAAAAGTGATTTAAGGGAGTTGCTGCGTGAGTGTGTGTGCAATTGCGTGCATGCAAATGCAAAATTAAGGGAACTGGCGTATGTGTATTTGCGTGCATGCAAATGCAAAAGGGATTTAAGGGAATTGGTGCCTGAGTGTGTGTGCAATTGCGTGCATGCAAATGCAAAATGAAGGGAACTGGCGTGTGAGTGTGTGTTTGCGTGCATGCAAATGCAAAAGGGATTTAAGTGAATCGCTCTGTGTGTGTGTGTGTGTGTATTTGTATGCATGCAAATGCTAAACAAATGTACGAAAATTGGCGCGTGAGTGTGTGTATTCATGTGTATGCAAATGCAAAATAGATTTAAGGGAATTGGTGCAGTGTGTGTCTGTGTGTGAATTTGCGGGCATGCAAATGCAAAATAGAGTTCATGGAATTGGCACGTGAGAGAGTGTGTGTGTATTTGCATGCAAATGCAAAATAGATTTAAGGGAATTGGCGGAGGGTGAGACTGTGTGTGTGTGTGTGTGTGTGTGTGTATTTGCATGCATTCAAATGCAAAAGGCATTTAAGGGAATTGGCCAGACCCCAGCTTCTCGGAAACAACGGTCCCAGGGAAGGGAGCGCTTTGCTGGAACTGTAAAAAGGAGCTGGGCTGCTCACCCCGAAGGCAAGGAGTTCAAATCCCTCCCACCCCCATCCCCAGCTGCTCCTGCAAGAGCAAAAATGGACCCTCTCCTGCCCTGTCGTTGGTGGTTTTATTTTCCCCCCAAGTCTCTTATAAACCCTACTTGCAGGGTGAGCTGTGTGTGGGTTCCTTCTCTGTGGCAGGGAATGAGTGAGATTTGCAGCTTGATATAAGAAAAAGATGAAGGGAGTTTGGTGGTGTGATTGATGGTGTGATTTACTGCAGAAGCTTAGGGCTGGGGCTCAGGGCAGGTGAAAACCCACCTTCAGGTTTGCTCTGGGAAGATAGGTGGGTTCCTCCCCTTGCAATTTGCAGTCTGAGCAAAGTGAAGGAAGTATGCAAAATGGAATGAATGAAAAATGAACTATTCTGCAAACTTGTGTCTAAATTGCACTTACGCACACCTATGTTTATCACGGCTTTGTTCACAAGAGCAAAGAGTTGGAAACAACCCAAATGACCATCAACAAACAAATGAAGAGAGAGGCTGTGGTCTAGTCACACAATGGAATACTATGCAGCACTGAAAAACAAGCAACTCGGTTGGAGTCAGTTTTATTATTACTTTTTGTTGTTGTTGTTGTTGGATGTGACTATTTTTCATGGTCTGGGGTGAGTGGATGAGTCTGTCTGTCCTGGTTGCTGGGGGAAGAGATCCCAGGAGCTGCCTGAGGCCTGCACGGCTGAGCTGTTTTCCCCTGGACGCTGCACTGACCTCAGGACAGGTCTTGACTGTGTAGCTTGGCCCTGAGCTTTGCAAGTCACCTGTCACGTCTCCTGAACACCTTCTACTCTGCAACCCTCTTTCTTCTCAGGCCTTGCATGTCCTGGAGGGGAGCACGGGTCCCCTCTAGGCAGCCGAGGAACTCGAGTGACCTTCTGCTAACAGGGCCACCTTGGACTTCAATAACATTATCACCTTCAGAACATACACAATCATGGTGAGTTCTTTTGTTTAGAGTTATTTGACTTTTATTTGATGTGGAATCGTTTATTTACTGATGAATTCTTCATAAAAGGGACTGAGGCTGTGTACCTATAACTGGGTGACCAGGGATGGGAATTTAGTTCCTTAAAATGGGAAGAAGGTGGATGTGGTGGCCACAAAATTGATTTCTAGAAGGCGTTCTAAGAACCTATAACACAAGATTTTTTCTTTTTTTATACTTATTTTAATTTAAATGCAACTTTACAGAGACTTAAGGTTTCCAGTCATTCCTTGGTGCACTTTTCTTTTTTTTTAAAATTTTTTAAAAATTCAATTGTGATTTTAATGCAGGTTTACAGAAAAGTTGGATTTTCGTTCATTCGTGATTCTGCATTTTATTTCTTCTCCCTCCTTTGCTTCTCCAGTTCACTTTTTAAAACTATTATTTAA